AGTGTGTGAGGATAGCCAGTGTAGGCTACAGTGTGTGTGACGATAGCCAGTGTTGGCTACAGTGTGTGTGAGGATAGCCAGTGTTGGCTACAGTGTGTGTGAGGATACAGTGTTGGCTACAGTGTGTGTGAGGATAGCCAGTGTTGGCTACAGTGTGTGTGAGGATAGCCAGTGTTGGCTACAGTGTGTGTGAGGATAGCCAGTGTTGGCTACAGTGTGTGTGAGGATAGCCAGTGTGCAAGGCTACAGTGTGTGTGAGGATAGCCAGTGTTGGCTACAGTGTGTGAGGATAGCCAGAGTGTGAGGATAGCCAGTGTAGACTACAGTCTGTGTGAGGATAGCCAGTGTAGGCTACAGTGTGTGAGGATAGCCAGTGTTGGCTACAGTGTGTGTGAGGATAGCCAGTGTAGGCTACAGTGTGTGAGGATAGCCAGTGTTGGCTACAGTGTGTGTGAGGATAGCCAGTGTAGGCTACAGTGTGTGAGGATAGCCAGTGTAGGCTACAGTGTGTGTGAGGATAGCCAGTGTAGGCTACAGTGTGTGTGAGGATAGCCAGTGTAGGCTACAGTGTGTGTGAGGATAGCCAGTGTAGGCTACAGTGTGTGTGAGGATAGCCAGTGTAGGCTACAGTGTGTGTGAGGATAGCCAGTGTAGGCTACAGTGTGTGTGAGGATAGCCAGTGTGTGAGGATAGCCAGTGTAGGCTACAGTGTGTGTGAGGCTAGCCAGCTACAGTGTGTGAGGATAGCCAGTGTGTGAGGATAGCCAGTGTAGACTACAGTGTGTGTGTGAGGATAGCCAGTTTAGACTACAGTGTGTGTGAGGATAGCCAGTGTTGGCTACAGTGTGTGTGAGGATAGCCAGTGTTGGCTACAGTGTGTGTGAGGATAGCCAGTGTTGGCTACAGTGTGTGTGAGGATAGCCAGTGTTGGCTACAGTGTGTGTGAGGATAGCCAGTGTAGGCTACAGTGTGTGTGAGGATAGCCAGTGTAGACTACAGTGTGTGTGAGGATAGCCAGTGTAGGCTACAGTGTGTGTGAGGATAGCCAGTGTAGGCTACAGTGTGTGTGAGGATAGCCAGTGTAGGCTACAGTGTGTGTGAGGATAGCCAGTGTAGGCTACAGTGTGTGTGAGGATAGCCAGTGTTGGCTACAGTGTGTGTGAGGATAGCCAGTGTAGGCTACAGTGTGTGTGAGGATAGCCAGTGTTGGCTACAGTGTGTGAGGATAGCCAGTGTAGGCTACAGTGTGTGTGAGGATAGAGTGTAGGCTACAGTGTGTGTGAGGATAGCCTACAGTGTGTGAGGCTACAGTGTGTGTGAGGATAGCCAGTGTAGGCTACAGTGTGTGTGAGGATAGCCAGTGTTGGCTACAGTGTGTGTGAGGATAGCCAGTGTAGGCTACAGTGTGTGTGAGGATAGCCAGTGTAGGCTACAGTGTGTGTGAGGATAGCCAGTTTAGGCTACAGTGTGTGTGAGGATAGCCAGTGTAGGCTACAGTGTGTGAGGATAGCCAGTGTAGACTACAGTGTGTGTGAGGATAGCTAGTGTTGGCTACAGTGTGTGTGAGGATAGCCCGTGTAGGCTACAGTGTGTGAGGATAGCCAGTGTAGACTACAGTGTGTGTGTGAGGATAGCTAGTGTTGGCTACAGTGTGTGTGAGGATAGCCAGTGTTGGCTACAGTGTGTGTGAGGATAGCCAGTGTTGGCTACAGTGTGTGTGAGGATAGCCAGTGTAGGCTACAGTGTGTGTGAGGATAGCCAGTGTTGGCTACAGTGTGTGTGAGGATAGCCAGTGTAGGCTACAGTGTGTGTGAGGATAGCCAGTGTTGGCTACAGTGTGTGTGAGGATAGCCAGTGTAGGCTACAGTGTGTGTGAGGATAGCCAGTGTAGGCTACAGTGTGTGTGAGGATAGCCAGTGTAGGCTACAGTGTGTGTGAGGATAGCCAGTGTAGGCTACAGTGTGTGTGAGGATAGCCAGTGTAGGCTACAGTGTGTGTGAGGATAGCCAGTGTAGGCTACAGTGTGTGTGAGGATAGCCAGTGTAGGCTACAGTGTGTGTGAGGATAGCCAGTGTAGGCTACAGTGTGTGTGAGGATAGCCAGTGTAGGCTACAGTGTGTGTGAGGATAGCCAGTGTTGGCTACAGTGTGTGTGAGGATAGCCAGTGTTGGCTACAGTGTGTGTGAGGATAGCCAGTGTAGGCTACAGTGTGTGTGAGGATAGCCAGTGTTGGCTACAGTGTGTGAGGATAGCCAGTGTAGGCTACAGTGTGTGAAGATAGCCAGTGTAGGCTACAGCGTGTGTGAGGATAGCCAGTGTAGGCTACAGTGTGTGTGAGGATAGCCAGTTTAGGCTTCAGTGTGTGTGAGGAGCGTGTGGGAGGATAGCCAGTGTAGGCTACAGTGTGAGGCTACAGTGTGTGTGAGGATAGCCAGTTGTAGGCTACAGTGTGTGTGAGGATAGCCAGTGTAGGCTACAGTGTGTGTGAGGATAGCCAGTGTAGGCTACAGTGTGTGTGAGGATAGCCAGTGTAGGCTACAGTGTGTGTGAGGATAGCCAGTGTAGACTACAGTGTGTGTGAGGATAGCCAGTGTAGGCTACAGTGTGTGTGAGGATAGCCAGTGTAGGCTACAGTGTGTGTGAGGATAGCCAGTGTAGGCTACAGTGTGTGTGAGGATAGCCAGTGTTGGCTACAGTGTGTGTGAGGATAGCCAGTGTAGGCTACAGTGTGTGTGAGGATAGCCAGTGTAGGCTACAGTGTGTGTGAGGATAGCCAGTGTAGGCTACAGTGTGTGTGAGGATAGCCAGTGTTGGCTACAGTGTGTGTGAGGATAGCCAGTGTAGGCTACAGTGTGTGTGAGGATAGCCAGTGTAGGCTACAGTGTGTGTGAGGATAGAGTGTAGGCTACAGTGTGTGTGAGGATAGCCAGTGTAGGCTACAGTGTGTGTGAGGATAGCCAGTGTTGGCTACAGTGTGTGTGAGGATAGCCAGTGTGTTGGCTACAGTGTGTGTGAGGATAGCCAGTGTAGGCTACAGTGTGTGTGAGGATAGCCAGTGTAGGCTACAGTGTGTGTGAGGATAGCCAGTGTAGGCTACAGTGTGTGTGAGGATAGCCAGTGTAGGCTACAGTGTGTGTGAGGATAGCCAGTGTAGGCTACAGTGTGTGTGAGGATAGCCAGTGTAGGCTACAGTGTGTGTGAGGATAGCCAGTGTTGGCTACAGTGTGTGTGAGGATAGCCAGTGTAGGCTACAGTGTGTGTGAGGATAGCCAGTGTAGGCTACAGTGTGTGTGAGGATAGCCAGTGTAGGCTACAGTGTGTGTGAGGATAGCCAGTGTAGGCTACAGTGTGTGTGAGGATAGCCAGTGTAGGCTACAGTGTGTGTGAGGATAGGCAGTGTTGGCTACAGTGTGTGTGAGGATAGCCAGTGTTGGCTACAGTGTGTGTGAGGATAGGCAGTGTTGGCTACAGTGTGTGTGAGGATAGCCAGTGTGTGTGAGGATAGCCAGTGTGTGTGAGGATAGAGTTAATGATTACACTCACCCAAGTTAACAAACAATAAAGTGAACATCAAGATGTTCATGTTCATTCCTCCTCTGGTGAAGATGTTCACCTGTTCACCACCACTGAACTAACACAAACATTGCATGCCACTGCACACATCTATTACAACTACCCGAGGAATTGTTGATGAAATTTGCAACATTATTATATCAATAATCCTAAATGCTATGTTGATACTGAGTCGTCTTTGCAATTTAAGAATTTCCGTTATCATGCAATGGAAGAATTATTGAATTCTTAATATTATTTTTTTTTATTGTTGGGAGCGATTTGGCTGTTGATTAATGACTCATGAGTATTTAGGGACTTAGAGAATATATATGGCACTGACTCTATGTATATACCAACCCGTTCTCGCAAATTTAATAAGTCAATATTGACTTATTAACTACGTGCATAGGTGATATACTAAACATAATAGATACCCTTAAAAAGATTCATAGAAAACACCGACCTTACCTAACCTACTTAGTATGTTAAGATAAGCATCTTATTGCTTCGTAATTACAATTATTACCTAACCTATAATAGGTATAGGTTAAGTAATAATTGTAATTACGAAGCAATAAGATGCTTATCTTAAGATACTAACAAGGTTAGGTAAGGTCGGTGTTTTCTAGGAATCTTTTTAATATCTATTATGTTTAGTATATCACCTATGCACGTAGTTAATAAGTCAATATTGACTTTACGAATTTGCGAGAACGGGTTGCATATACACAGGGATATATATTCCTAAAGCTCTCTGAAGCATAGCAGTACCTTATACCTTATTTTATTTCTTGCTGATGAGTAAGAGTGGACATTAGGCCCAATATTTGTTGGTTTTGTATATACAGAAAACTTGAAATTATTTTCTCATTTATACATTAACACATTAATGGTAAAGAGTTTCCTTGTTCCATTTTTACTTAATGGATTGGGCTTTATTATTTAATTCTAGAAAAAGTGTTCATATTTTTATTTTTAGGCTATAATCTATATATAGCATTAAACCTTGTAAGATTAGCAGGCAAAATTCGACTTAATTGCCTTGTTTCATAGAGCTCAATATACAGAATGGCTTAACTAAGCCATATATGTACTGTCAGAAATCTTGTAATAAAAAAGATTATTACCTTTCAAAATTGTTATTTTTTTTTTTTTACTATTTTTACTGTTAAGAGCAGGTCATCTTTCGATTACCTTGAGATGATTTCGGGGCTCAGCGTCCCTGCGGCCCGGTCCTTGACCAGGCCTCCTTGTCCAGCAGCCAATGCATTCTTTGTCAATTTAATAACATTCAGTTTTCCATATAGTCACATTTCTTCACAATTACAACAGCATTTTTCTTGCTTTAATAACACATAATAATATCTTCTCCTCTAAGTTTTCATAGGCTTAAAAGAATCTTGAATCTCTTTCAAATTAAGAAAAACTTTAAGAACAAATCAAACAATTTTTCTGTTTGAAAAAGAAATAATAATTCAATATAAATTAAATAATTCTGTCATTTCAGGATAATTTCAAAGAAATTCCTACAAATCCAAAAGTTAAAAAAGTTACAAATTTTAAAAGTTACAAATCCCCCCCCCCCCCCCAGATACTTGCAATAGATGTATGGATAGAAGTTCATGTAAATATTGTAACAAGTTCTAGGTAAGGTAACGGTAGCCACCTGCCACAGGTAACGGTAGCCACCTGCCACGGGTAACGGTAGCCACCTGCCACAGGTAACGGTAGCCACCTGCCACAGGTAACGGTAGCCACCTGCCACAGGTAACGGTAGCCACCTGCCACAGGTAACGGTAGCCACCTGCCACAGGTAACGGTAGCCACCTGCCACAGGTAACGGTAGCCACCTGCCACAGGTAACGGTAGCCACCTGCCACAGGTAACGGTAGCCACCTGCCACAGGTAACGGTAGCCACCTGCCACAGGTAACGGTAGCCACCTGCCACAGGTAACGGTAGCCACCTGCCACAGGTAACGGTAGCCACCTGCCACAGGTAACGGTAGCCACCTGCCACAGGTAACGGTAGCCACCTGCCACAGGTAACGGTAGCCACCTGCCACAGGTAACGGTAGCCACCTGCCACAGGTAACGGTAGCCACCTGCCACAGGTAACGGTAGCCACCTGCCACAGGTAACGGTAGCCACCTGCCACAGGTAACGGTAGCCACCTGCCACAGGTAACGGTAGCCACCTGCCACAGGTAACGGTAGCCACCTGCCACAGGTAACGGTAGCCACCTGCCACAGGTAACGGTAGCCACCTGCCACAGGTAACGGTAGCCACCTGCCACGGGTAACGGTAGCCACCTGCCACAGGTAACGGTAGCCACCTGCCACAGGTAACGGTAGCCACCTGCCACAGGTAACGGTAGCCACCTGCCACAGGTAACGGTAGCCACCTGCCACAGGTAACGGTAGCCACCTGCCACAGGTAACGGTGGCCACCTGCCACAGGTAACGGTAGCCACCTGCCACAGGTAACGGTAGCCACCTGCCACAGGTAACGGTAGCCACCTGCCACAGGTAACGGTAGCCACCTGCCACAGGTAACGGTAGCCACCTGCCACAGGTAACGGTAGCCACCTGCCACAGGTAAGGCCACCTGCCACAGGTAACGGTAGCCACCTGCCACAGGTAACGGTAGCCACCTGCCACAGGTAACGGTAGCCACCTGCCACAGGTAACGGTAGCCACCTGCCACAGGTAACCACCTGCCACAGGTAACGGTAGCCACCTGCCACAGGTAACGGTAGCCACCTGCCACAGGTAACGGTAGCCACCTGCCACAGGTAACGGTAGCCACCTGCCACAGGTAACGGTAGCCATCTGCCACAGGTAACGGTAGCCACCTGCCACAGGTAACGGTAGCCACCTGCCACAGGTAACGGTAGCCACCTGCCACAGGTAACGGTAGCCACCTGCCACAGGTAACGGTAGCCACCTGCCACAGGTAACGGTAGCCACCTGCCACAGGTAACGCTAGCTACCTGCCACAGGTAACGGTGGCCACCTGCCACAGGTAACGGTAGCCACCTGCCACAGGTAACGGTGGTCACCTGCCACAGGGAACGGTAGCCACCTGCCACAGGTAACGGTAGCCACCTGCCACAGGTAACGCTAGCCACCTGCCACAGGTAACGGTAGCCAGCCCTGCCACAGGTAACGCTAGCCACCTGCCACAGGTAACGCTAGCCACCTGCCACAGGTAACGGTAGCCAACTGCCACAGGTAACGGTAGCCACCTGCCACAGGTAACGGTAGCCACCTGCCGCAGGTAACGGTAGCCACCTACCGCTGGAATGGCCATACCTAGCCCCTAGTATAGGACCATACCTGGCCCCTAGTATAGGAGGACCATAACTGGCCCCTAGTATAGGACCATACCTGGCCCCTAGTATAGGAGGACCATACCTGGCCCCTAGTATAGGACCATACCTGGCCCCTAGTATAGGACCATACCTGGCCCCTAGTATAGGACCATACCTGGCCCCTAGTATAGGACCATACCTGGCCCCTAGTATAGGACCATACCTGGCCCCTAGTATAGGAGGACCATACCTGGCCCCTAGTATAGGAGGACCATACCTGGCCCCTAGTATAGGAGGACCATACCTGGCCCCTAGTATAGGAGGACCATACCTGGCCCCTAGTATAGGAGGACCATACCTGGCCCTAGTATAGGAGGACCATACCTGGCCCCTAGTATAGGAGGACCATACCTGGCCCCTAGTATAGGAGGACCATACCTGGCCCCTAGTATAGGAGGACCATACCTGGCCCCTAGTATAGGAGGACCATACCTGGCCCCTAGTATAGGAGGACCATACCTGGCCCCTAGTATAGGAGGACCATACCTGGCCCCTAGTATAGGAGGACCATACCTGGCCCCTAGTATAGGAGGACCATACCTGGCCCCTAGTATAGGAGGACCATACCTGGCCCCTAGTATAGGAGGACCATACCTGGCCCCTAGTATAGGAGGACCATACCTGGCCCCTAGTATAGGAGGACCATACCTGGCCCCTAGTATAGGAGGACCATACCTGGCCCCTAGTATAGGAGGACCATACCTGGCCCCTAGTATAGGAGGACCATACCTGGCCCCTAGTATAGGAGGACCATACCTGGCCCCTAGTATAGGAGGACCATACCTGGCCCCTAGTATAGGAGGACCATACCTGGCCCCTAGTATAGGAGGACCATACCTGGCCCCTAGTATAGGAGGGCCATACATGGCCCCTAGTATAGGAGGGCCATACCTGGCCCCTAGTATAGGAGGACCATACCTGGCCCCTAGTATAGGAGGACCATACCTGGCCCCTAGTATAGGAGGACCATACCTGGCCCCTAGTATAGGAGGACCATACCTGGCCCCTAGTATAGGAGGACCATACCTGGCCCCTAGTATAGGAGGACCATACCTGGCCCCTAGTATAGGAGGACCATACCTGGCCCCTAGTATAGGAGGACCATACCTGGCCCCTAGTATAGGTTCTTGCTACCTGAGCTTAAGCCTAAAGGGTGTTGGGGGGGGCGTAAGACCTTCACAAAGGTATTAGGGGACCAATAAACACTTTTGACCTGTCATTTGTCACCCAACTGTCACCTTACTGTCACCATCTGTCACCTTCTGTCACCGCTGGCAGAGCACCACCTCGGAACAACGCAGATAAGAGAAGCATTATCTGCTGATGGGCGAGATTACTGTGTCTTTACAGCAGTCGGTCGACCTTGCTAGCTTGTCTACCTAACTAGAGTGGATATGCACACGGCGTGGACACGTACATATGTACACACGCATACACACATGTACGCCACAACATATATTCAGATATGTAACTTGCAAGATTGCATGTGTGTGCAGAAACGCACACACACACACACCACTCCATAGTGTATAACAAATCACTGGTAACAGGGGAACTGCCAAAAATTTGGAAGACGGCTAATGTAGTCTCTGTATACAACAAAGGGGGATAGACAGGAGGCACTGAACTACAGGCCAGTGTCCCTAACCTGCATACCATGCAAGCTGATGGAGAAGATTGTGTGAAGAAAGCTAGTGGAACATCTGGAGCGAAGGAACTTTGTAACACAGCATCAACATGGGTTCAGGGATGGCAGGTCCTGCCTCACAGGGTTACTCGAATTCTACGACCAGGCAACAAAAATAAGGCAAGAAAGAGAAGGGTGGGCAGACTGCATATTTCTGGACTGTCAGAAAGCCATTGATACAGTACCACACAAGAGGCTAGTGAAAAAGTTAGAGATACAATGAACTAAACTTTAGTTTAGTTCATTTATAATGCACCCCACACCCATCTTGTGGGCGGTAGTGGACCCCATACCCATCTTGTGGGCGGTAGTGGACCCCATACCCATCTTGTGGGCGGTAGTGGACCCCATACCCATGCTGTGGATGGTAGTGGACCCCATACCCATCTTGTGGGCGGTAGTGGACCCCATACCCATCTTGTGGGCGGTAGTGGACCCCATACCCATGCTGTGGATGGTAGTGGACCCCATACCCATCTTGTGGGCGGTAGTGGACCCCATACCCATCTTGTGGGCGGTAGTGGACCCCATACCCATGCTGTGGATGGTAGTGGACCCCATACCCATCCTGTGAGTGGTAGTGGACCCCATACCCATCCAGTGGGCGGTAGTGGACCCCATACCCATCCTGTGGGCGGTAGTGGACCCCATACTCATCCTGTGGGTGGTAGTGGACCCCATACCCATCCTGTGGGCGGTAGTGGACCCCATACTCATCCTGTGGATGGTAGTGGACCCCATACCCATCTTGTGGGCGGTAGTGGACCCCATACCCATCTTGTGGGCGGTAGTGGACCCCATACCCATGCTGTGGATGGTAGTGGACCCCATACCCATCCTGTGGGCGGTGGTGGACCCCATACCCATCCTGTGGGCGGCAGTGGACCCCATACCTATCATGTGGGCGGTAGTGGACCCCATACCCATCCTGTGGGCGGTAGTGGACCCCATACCCATCCTGTGGGTGGTAGTGGACCGCATACCCATCCTGTGGGCGGTAGTGGACCCCATACCCATCCTGTGGGCGGTAGTGGACCCCATTCCCATCCTGTGGGTGGTAGTGGACCCCATACCCATCCTGTGAGTGGTAGTGGACCCCATACCCATCCTGTGAGTGGTAGTGGACCCCATACCCATCCAGTGGGCGGTAGTGGACCCCATACCCATCCTGTGGGCGGTAGTGGACCCCATACTCATCCTGTGGGTGGTAGTGGACCCATACCCATCCTGTGGGCGGTAGTGGACCCCATACCCATCCTGTGGGTGGTAGTGGACCCCATACCCATCCAGTGGGCAGCGGTGGACCCCATACCCATCCTGTGGGTGGTAGTGGACCCCATACCCATCCTGTGGGCAGCGGTGGACCCCATACCCATCCTGTGGGTGG